GGTTTGCAGGCTGGAAAAACTGACACTGTTTGACTTAAGTATATTTATACAGGTGTTTAGCCAGTATTAAACTTTTGATATAGTTGCTTGGCTTCATGAGTGAATGTGTTAAATCATTTGTAATATTGATACAATAGATAATGATTTGCAAATGACATAAAACACATATTTTATTTATTATTGAACAAAAGAAAGATTCCATCCATCCTCTGCTTATGTAACTAATGCTCACTGGGTGGCTGGAGCCTGTCCCAACTACCATAGGGCTCGAGGCAGGGTACACCCCGGACAGGTTGCCAGTTTGTCAAAGGGCTAACACAAAAAGACAGACAACCACTACAAAAAACATTATTTATTTTTAAGCCCTTACCATTTTATGAAAAATATTAGCACATTTTGAATTTGAAAGGTAATCCTGGAAAAGTAAGTATTACTAAAAAGAAACAACTGGAGGAACACTTTGCATTTAACATTAACTGGCAATTAACTGGCAATAGGACAGTACATGACTGGGTCTAAGTCATTTTAAGAAAAAATGGACACCGTGTTCTGGACCATCTTGTTATCTCTGATTGTACAGGGCTACATTAGTGCCTATAGAATTGGCATCTTGCACATCTTGGAAAAGCATCATCAGTGGTTAAAGGTAAATACAGGTCTTATGCTCCAATCTAGATGACATGTTTTTCAGGGAAGGCCTTACATATTTTATCAAGATAATAGAAAACCACATCTTTTACAACAGCACTGCTTCATAGTACAATAGAATAAGTTCTTAACTGACTTGCCTGCAGTTCAGACTTTTCACCAGTTAAAAACATTTTGCACATTATAAAATGCAAAATCCAACAAAGATGATAGAAGACTGCTAAGTACCTAAAATCCTTTATCAGTCAAGAATGAGACAACATTCTCACCCAAAAGTCCAGCAACTGGTCTCCTCAGATTCCAGATGTTTACAGCTCTGCTACACAGTGGTGAACTTGGTCCTATCCCAACATGTTTGAGACGTGTTGCTGTCATCACATACTTAATATTTTTCTTATAATGGTATATTTACACAGCTAAAGCATTTATGTATTTTTTCTGGTTTCTACTGTGATGGATTTTTTTTGTTTAATTTTTCTGTGTATGTACATTGACAGCGATTTCTCCAGATTCTCTGAATCTTTTTATAATATCATGTACTGTACATGATAAGATATTCTAAGTCTCCACAATTTTACGTTGTAAAACATTATCCTACAATTGTTCCACAATTTGTAGACAGTCCTTTTACAGATTGTTGAACTGCACATCTTTACTTTTGAGATACTCTGCCACACTGCGATGCTCTTTTTATACACAGTTATGTTACTGACTTGTTGCCAACCAATCTAATTACTTGAAAAATGTTCTTCCAGATGTTCTTTCTTTTTAATATCACTTACATTTCCAGCCTTTTGTTTCCTTTGTCCAATGTTTTTAAGACGTGCGGCGGCAAACAAATTCAAAATGAACTAATATTTTTTGTCAAATAGTATAATGTCTGAGGTTTACAATATTTTCTATGTTCTATTATGATTAAAATGATTTTCTGTAATTGGCAAATCATTGCATTTTATTTTTTATTACTTTTTAGAGCATGCCCACTTTTTGGAAGCTGGGTTTGTATATCAGATCATGAAATGTCATGACTAGCAAGTAGTACTAGTATAATTTCATGGTGGCAACACATTTTTTGATATCTCTTAATTCTGATGCTAAAAGCATTAGTATTACAAATCATCTGACACATTAATTCACAAATGTTATAATATTGAGGGACTATATCAAAGTCTGTTATTTGCTAAATAACCACTGGCTTCGGATGTTATCAGTCAATTTAGAATCTGATTTCTGACACCCATTGAATGGACTTATAATATCTGAAGCAGTTGAAATAACTGTACATATTAAAGATTGAATCAAGCTATGTGAGTTTGTTGAACCTGCAAAATAATAATTCTATTAATAATAATATTTACTGACACATAGTTAAACCATTATGAAAATATGAAAGCATGATGAGATTTTAACTATGAAATCCTCTTCCTTATGGATGTACACTTGACTGAACAAAATCTATGACCAGTTTCTCGGATTAAGGATTAAGGATTAAGTCTGGACAGTGCATGTCTGATGAGTTAAAAATGAGTTACTTTTTAGACAGTCAAGGGTTGACATGGATCACGTGACCATAATCACGTGCTCCAATGAGTTCCAGGAGTCCAAAAACAATGGTGACACACAAACAGTGGTGGTGCAACATTTACCAACGTAGAAGCTTTAAAATTACAGAGGAAAATCCAACAAACTCC